ACAGTAAATTAAGTTTCGGTGCATTTAAATCACTGCAATAAAAAGAGCTCCATTTATTATCATCAAAGAGGAAGGAAAAAAGTCTTAAAACATGGTTCAGTGGATTTTTGATTTTTGCTGGTTTTCATATGAAGGCAAATTAAAAATAAAGATAGTGAAGAAGAAGTTAAGATCAACTCGATATATTATCAAGAACATATTTAATATCCAATTTTCAAATATAAAATACCTTCTCTTTACTCATTTTGCCATTATTATCCCTAATAAATCTGATGGATTTTTGCATTTTGGGACTTTTAAAAAGGAGATTGTCCAAACATTGACCTGCAACTCTCCTTGGATTTTGAAAAGCTGTTCCAGAGGAATGATATAAAATACTTCTTCCCGCTTTCCAAAAGGCTTTATTTTTATTGTCTTGGAAATTATGGTATAGAAAAATAGTGAAGAATAAGGCTTATCAATTGAACATTTAAAACACAAAAATTTTAGGTAAAATATTTCTGTAAATATAATGAAAATCATCTAAAAAATATGCAAGCATCCTCTATATTCCAGATGGGGGCCTCATGCGTTAAGTGAGAAAAATTTGCATGATCAAGTCATCATATACACATCTCTGCTTATTTGGAACAAAAAGAACCTTCATTGGACTGGATGATAACTGATGATGAAAAGTACACTGCGAAAAAAGGGACAGTTCTATATCTCTCGTTCTATTGGGCCAATTGACAAAATTCAAATTACATTTTTCATGTCTCAAAAGCGTGACTTAGGATATATATTAAATTTATATATAGCATTGTTCTAACATAGGTATTCTGACATGAAATCAGATTTTTTCGGAAATAACATACCAATTTTTTTCTATATTTCAATTCTACAACTCAAATTATACTTAGATATTAAATTTTGTAAAATTTGGTGCAAAATTTATGGAGAAATTCAAAAATTTATCTTGGCAAAATTTTTTTCAGTTTGGCCAAGAATAATTCACTTGGTGAACTTCTTAATATATGGCAACCAATTTTCCTTTCCCTTCCATTATGCCGAAGTGGAAAAAAAGGCACCTCGTTCTTTCTTATCTTTTTACATTGTGCATGAGCGGGAAAAAAGTCACATTGTTTCTACTTCCATATAATTTTAGCAAAGTGTTTAAACTACATCTGATGTTTCATTCCTTTCAAGAAATATGCCAAATTAAAAAAAAATTCAAAATATAAATTCACGAATATTTTCAGAAATTTTGAATAAAAAATTGTAATTTTTTGCAGGTGTGCTTAGAAACGTCTACTTTAAGTTGATGGTAAAAATTTTATAGATTATAATTCAAAATGTTTTTTGAAAACTTTATAAAAACTGATTTAAAATTACAAATTTAAAAAATAAATCATAAAAAATGGGGGAATTTTATTTGGAATGAACCTGAATTTCTAAATGTGAAAGGAAGAATCAAAAAAGCTTAATAAAAAAAGAAATATTAATAAATATATACCAAACTCAATTAATATTGAGGAGCTAAAATTTTGATTGCTAATGTTTTTAAAAACTGCTCCTGCAATTTTTACAAAACTTGGTAGTTTGACGTAATTTGAGTCGTAGAATTGAAGTATGGGAAAATTGGTATATTATTTCAGAGAAAGTCTGATTTTGTGTCAAAATACCTATATTATAGCAATGCTATATATAAATCTAATACATATCCCAAGTCGCGCTTTCGAGACATGGAAAACGCATGTTGAATTTCGTCAATTGGCCCAGTAGAACGGGAGATATAGAAGTGTCTCCTCTTCTTTTTTTTTTTTTTTTTTTTTCCCCGCAGTGTACATCACCTATGTAAACATTGTTATGAAGAGGTAATACTCTGAGTTCGGACAACCTGCCCTATCCAGCTCAAAACTGAATTTTAGCTTGAATAAGTGAATGCTGTGGATATGGCGAGATGTCCAAGGACCAGTATATTACGATCTTTTAAAACCTAATGAAAAGCCCAATTCAGAGAGGTACTATCAGCAAATTGATGATTTAAACAAAGAAGTCAAAGAAAAGAGGCCAGAAATGTTCAATAGGAAGCATGTCATACTGCATCCTGGTAATGTCAGAGCACTTGCTGCTGCTTTAGCAATTCATCAGAAAATCTCAGAGCTAGGCTGAGAAATTCTGCCACATACACCATACTCTCCAGTTCTATGCACAGATCTGGATTGCCAATTAACCCTCTCTCCGTACAAAAGGCTGTTTTCTATATTCATTAAACATGAAAATGTCTGCTAGCTTTTAAATGTATCTGATTTCGGTTTGGATGTATAATGGAAGAAAAGGAATCAAGGTACGAAATTAGAGAGTCATTTTTTAATTCAAATCAAGAAAATATCATTTATTCATGACATTTTGAGGAACTTTGAAATTTCAGGGCTAAACCCATAACTCTCAGAGAATTAAATACCATTTGCAGACATCTGAGGTTATCACATAAATATGAGTACTTTTAGCAAGCAGCAAGTGCTCTGACGTTACCAGTATGCAGTATGATGTGCTACCTATTGAACATTGCTGGCCTCTTATAGTGCATCGCGTGATAATACTTTTCAGTGGTTTGTCGTTGGGGATGTAGATAATCAGAAAGTACCATAGAAAAATGTATCTTAGAATTACAGGAGACTAACAGATGCTCATTTTTAACACCACTTTTCAATCCTTTGATACAGAAAATATGTCAGTTTGATTTTTATTTTTGAATGCATATTAGTATAGATTCCACAACGTAATCTAAATTATTTACAGATTTCTGTGGACAATATTCATGGCTATTTAAGATTGAATGTACTATCTAATAAGTATAATGCCTTTAGTCTTGCAAATGTGTATCTCCATTTCTTCCCGTAACTAAACCAATTCCCTTTGTTCATTACTAGAAATTACAGTGACATTTAAATCCAGAATTAAAGTAAACATCTTGATACATTACTGTAATATAAAAAGATAAACAGAGTCTGATAAGTTGCTGATATTAGTTTTTAACATTGTTACACTAAAATTAAAGATACTGTGTTCTCACATATCTCTAAATATAACCCAACTATTTTACAACAGCATAGCTACTACTTCTCTCAGTTTTTCGTATAACATCTCCCAGTAGATAATCAAATATCCTGATTTCTAATTTTTAGCCTTTATCAATGAAAATGTTTCCCAGTAATAAATGAAATTTATTGAAATACAGTCAAAAGTCGTTAATCCGGACTCGTCGGGACTTCAGCGATTCCGGATTCTCGATTTTTCTGGATTATAGATCATCAGTTTAAATCTCGTAAGATGGCATGCAGAAATTCTAAAATTTAAAATATGAAACCGTAATTTATGAAATAAAGAACAATTATGATCTAAAGGGTATCAAAATTTACAAAAAAAAAAAAAAAAAAGCTTAATATTTATTTGTTTACTTTATTAAACATTTCTTTCAATGTAAAGATACTAAGATACAATGTAAGTTGTTTAAGTTGCTTCGTTTTATGTGATAATACTTTCTCTTTAATTCTATAAACAGACATAATTTCTTGTTCGGTTACAAAGTTCCACTGTTCAAGTCCCGTAATTGCTGTGCCGAGAATACCGACTAACTTGTCAATCGAAATTTTTTCGTTTTCACTAACCTCTATGTCACCTTCTTCATATCTTTATCCATTTTTTGAGCAATTCCACTTTTTGTTTGATGGACATCGAGACATACTTTCGTTTTGTAGATCCTTTGAGAGCTCCAGCATCGGAAATCCTATTTGAAATAATCGGAAGTTCAAGTTTACTTTTATAAAATTGCTCCCTTTTATAAAATTATAGTCTGCAAAAAATAATAAGCCGGATCCAATTCGAAGATTAAGGAACAACGCAATCATCAACGTTAACTGAAATAGATAATTTAGATAGATTTTAGCTTATACCATCCGTTATACATTAAATGCGCATTGCGTAAACGTATTATGCACTTGCGTAACATGTATTATGCGCAGTGCATAAAGGTATTACGTGCATGCGTAAACGTCTATACGCATGTGTCAACGTGGCGCATGCGCAGAAAGTTTTTAGCTTTGAGGTCCGGATTATGGGTGTTCGAATTAACAACTTTTGACTGTAATGATACTGAAATTAGGTAAATTCCCCACCACCTCTAGTAATTTTCAGAATAATTTTTCTTATTAAATTTTATTTCATCAAAACTGTATTTTTCCTTATTACATTCGATTGATCTTATTAAAATTCATTTGATCTGAGTAGTTTTAATCTAATGTACATATTTGTAGAGTTTTATATGATAATTCAATGTTTAATCAGTTAATATTTGTATTTACTTTTATATACTTCAGTATGTGATAGATTACTACATTTATCTACATAAATACTATGCACACTAATAAATAAATTTTATTTTCATTGTAGTTAAAAGTACTCTGGGAAAAGAAAAAAAAAAAAAAAGAGAGAGAGAGAGAGAGAAAAGCTTTCCTTAGCTACTTAGAATTTTTCAGTTTAAAGTTGTAAGAAAACTTTAAAAAATGAAATTAGTCAAAAAACATAAAATTTAGAATATCTACTTAAATGCTAATATATTTACATCAGAACTGAATTACAAACAGTTCTCTAGCCTGAACCATGCATTATAAAGTGAATTAAAGTAAGTTAGCAGTTTCTTTGAAATAATATCGAGCACAGCAGGAACCTCTCAGTTTTTAAGATTTCAAGGTTGTCAGCTATGCAATATGTATGTTTTAATTAGTTATTGTGTAGAGACCATTGGGTATTTTATTTCAGAGCAAAAGACTTGAAAAATATGCAATGCTATTGCCAGGATTCAAATTACATACCTCCTGATTGCTAGTTGGACATGCTTCCAATTATACCATGAAAGCACACATTAAGGAGGGCCAAAAAAACTTTACAATTGTAACTAATTATTAAACGTTTAAAATTACTTACTGTATAGACTATATTTCATAGAATGAATTTATTTTCTTTTGTGTCCTTAGATGCAACCATTTATGTTGGTGGATTGGATGAAAAGGTTAGTGAAACCATTCTATGGGAACTTTTTGTCCAAGCTGGACCAGTGGGTACGATCTCTTATTATAATTCAGTTTTTTGTAGTTCATTTGGCTATTGTGTTTGTATTTTTTCCTTATATATCTATATATTTCTGTTTTATGTAGTATGCTAGCTTATTATCATTATTTATCTTATAATTATATTCATATGGGTATATATAGTACAAAGTCCAAAATCTGGACGTCCATTATCCGGAATGATCAAAAATCCGGACCTCAAAACCACAAACGTTTTCTCATAGGCTTTATGCATGTGCATTTAATCCCCCCTTCCGCACATAATAAAACATCTAGAGAATCCCGATTCTTAATTTCACTTCGACACTAAATAAAATGCCTTGTTATTGAAGAAAAAATTAGTTTAGCATAAATTTGTACGATCAGTAATTTGGCTCCATTGCTGTGTATCTGCTTGGCACACATCTCAAACCGAAACATTCCATATACATACATCGTTGATTTGACACCAACCTGGAAAATCATTATTTATTATACTTTCCTTTTATCACCGCATGTTTATCAAAACATGACAACTTGAGGAATGACTCATGTAGCAATGCCTAACCAATTTTTTTATGTTAATAATTGAATAATAAAGGAGTATGGTAACCTTTTAATTTTGACATTATGCTTGGTGATGATTAAAGATTTAAGTTAAATGCACTGAAAAATGTTGATGAGGAAAAATTTACCAAGAACTTCCTTCCATTTGCTAAAAATAGATTTTGTTGATGATACTCTGATTTGTTTTTATTCACTTAAACCCAGAACCAGCACCAGGACTCGTATGGCCGCACCGGCAAAGAATGGCACTGAGTCGCAGAATTTAGGACCCACAGAAACTACATCAGGTGATAGGATATCTAGCGCCGGCCCTCAATAAAGCTTAAGTATATGTGGGAATTTATTTATTCAGAACTCTGATAAGCCTTAAGAATGTGCAAGAAAAGAACATAAGTATAATAAATAACTAAACTAATACAATTAGGCTTAATTGTAATGCACGATAGAAGCAATAAAATTTAATGGAACAACTTGTCGTTAGTCGTTAAGCTCATGAGCTAGAAATATGTATAATAGGATAGCCTAACGATGATGTAGCCGCTAATTTTAAAGGTGATATCACAAACAAAGGTTAAATTTCCATTAATGGATTTGTAAAAAAATGGGAAGAAGCTGTATAAATGAAGATGATATAAAAGAAGTTTTCATTGTGATGACAGTGCTTCTTGATCATCATCATTAATGAATGGCAAAATTTGTAGTATGGATATAGATCCAGAAAATACCACCTGTACATTCCGTTGTTTAAAAAAGTGGACTGTAAATTGACTTGATATTACTTCAGTATAGACCCAAAAAAACCTCAGAGTCATAACGTTGACCGAAATTCTTTATTGATTTCAAGAGTAATTTTGAGGAACGGCGAAACCACACAAAACTCCGCTTCAGTGGTGGCTTACCAAACACAAAACTCAGAAGAACTCTGTAGTTTGAAATTCCAGTAATTCACAGCAACTCAAGCTCTAATGCAGCTTAAAAACTAACAAATTGCGTCTGCGCCGCTCCTCGGTACAAAGAAAGAAATACAATTTGCATAACATCGAACACCACTAACGGTAGTGAAGAGAGTGAGAGAAGTTACTGAAAACAAGAAAATTTCGATTGACAAGTTAGTCGGAATTCTCGAAACAGCAGTTACAGGACTTCAGCAGTGTAACTGAAAAAGAGATTATGTCTGTCTATAGAATTAAACAGAAAGTGTTAGCACAAAAGAAAAACGAAGCAATTTAAAACAACTTATATTGAAAGAAATATTTAATAAGGTAAACAAATAAATATTAAGCTTTTTTTTGTAAATTTTGATACCCTTTAGATCATAAATACTTCATTATTTCATAAATCATGATTTCATATTTTTAATTTTATAATTTTTACATGCCATCTTACTAGATTTAAACTGATGATGTAATATCCAGAAAAATCCCAATCTCGGCAGAGTCGCTGAAGTCCCGATGAGTCCGGATTTTGGACTTTGTACTGTATATGAATTTATTTAATTTTTGCTTTGTTGTTTCAAAGAATTATTTTGTTGGATCTGCGATTGCTGAGACTTTGAAGTTTCATGCAGCATGAAAAGCATTACTCTAATTTTTAAGGTAGTCGAATATGTTTTTCTAGCAGAGAGTTGCCCTTTCCAGAAACATTGTTTTGCATATAATGAGTAATACTGATTACATAAAAAGCCTTAACAACAGAAAAATAACACAAATTTAACACAAATAAACTAAACAATATAAACAAGCTTAACAACACGAAATTTGGTACAGACTAACTCTTTTGTCAAATAATGCATTTTTCTTATAATTTTTCTTTACACTGCATTAGAAAGTGCTTTAATCTAAACTTTCAAGTTCAATTTAAATTGTAATGAATATTTTATATTAATTAGGTTTTATCTTATTTAAAAATGCAATTCAAATATTTTGATTGTTGATTATTACTATTTCCATGCCTTAATGCTTTTGTTACAGCATTACCGAATAACACAATGTCAATTTCTCAGAAATAAAACTTAGCATTTAAAAATTGTGATGCAAAATTAAAATATACCATGTATACTTGCATATTTTCCTACTTTCTTTTACTAATTTTTATCATACGAAAATCGAGAAAGAATTTTGCTGATAATTTGATTTCCGAAGGATGCAGTTACAATAAGAATATAGCAAATGCAAAATTTTCATAAATAAACTACAAGTAACTGTCACAATATTATTTATTTAAAAGAATCCTACACCCCAATAAAAATGCTTTAACATTAGCATTACAGTATCTAATAAAATATCTTCATTTCCACTTCCCTGTATCTTGAATCTTGCCCTCTATTATTGTTGTCTACTGCTACTTTGCTGGCCTCAATTCATTCAATGTTGAAACTGTGTCATCTGCTACAGCTTGCTAGTCATTGCCAACATCAGTATTATCATTGTCTTTGTTATCATTGCCCAGTTTGTCTTCCCTCGTGCAAAGATTTTCAAAATACATCAATAACATGAGATAGCTCTGTTTTCTTGAACCTGTTCACTATAAATGCTTCATCATGCACCCAGTTTCCATGAGCTAATCAATTAGTAAGACAAAGACAACCACCACATGAACAAATTTCAGTTTAAACCTTAGCGATGCTTGCTTTCTAATTAATTTGAAGAAGGATAAAATTCTATGAATATTGGAAAGGGATATTATGATCTGAACCTTACTAATATTCAAAGCACAGCGCTTGCTAGAATCAGCGCACAACACATATTGCCACATTTGGCGACCTAAGGGCGCAAATAAGAGTAGTACCAAATTTGTGTTAGTTCTAAGATTATGCAGTAAGTTATATCAAATTTTGGGTGGAATTGTGTTGCAAATACAATTATGGTATAGTTGTATCTGAATTTTTTTAAAGAAGTAAATGATATAAAATCTTAAAGTTATCAAGAGATATATGCTTATTGAGTTGACTTCTAAAGTTTGTACAATTTTTAAAAATCTTATAATATGTATTAATAAGAAAATTAATGTTTTTGAAATTTTAGTTAATGTTCATATGCCAAAGGACAGAGTGACAGGACAGCACCAAGGCTATGGTTTTGTTGAATTTTTAGGTGAAGATGATGCTGATTATGCAATAAAAATCATGAATATGATAAAATTATACGGGAAGCCTATTAGAGTAAATAAGGTAAGTAATCTGTATTTTTTTAGTATGTAAAATACTGAGATGTGTTGAAGAATAAATTAGTTCATGTGGTTAAAATTTAAAGTGATTCCTTTTTTTTTTTTTTTTTTTTTTTTTTTTTTGTTTGTTTGTTTGTTTGTTTGTTTTATAAACATTGTTTCAGTTTGCAAGCCTAAAATATCTTAAAAATTATATGAAAAATTAGTTTTTTTTTTTTCAGTTCCTGTTTTTAGCCCCTCTTTGTTTGGTATTGCTTTATTAAGCCCTACCACTTCAAAATCAGTTTAAACAGCTACTATTCTATTTTAAGTTAAAATTTTTATTAATTTACTGAATTTGTAATTGCTAGGTAATATGAATATAAAATAATGAATTAATGAAAAAAGTAGGTTTGAGTTGGAAGAAATTAACAAAACTACGCTATTTTCCTTTTAATTCCCATATCTACTCTCCCTTTCATACTAATCTTGTCATATGAAAATAGAAAGAGGAAAATTTTACAAATAATTTATTTTACAAAGACATGGTTACAATATGTACTTTTTTTCTCTTGCAAGCAGCCATGACATTTGTAAGTTTCTTCTATCACAACCATTTTAAATTTTATGCTCTGTTTGGGAAAAAAAAATTAAACAGAAAAAACACTATATTTTTTTGCCACATTTTATTAACATAGAATACGTGTAATATGTAGATAGTGTGATGTTGATATGATGTAGAGCTAAACATTTAATAAATTTCTTTACAATTAAAATTATTTGTGCAAAATTATGCGCCCTTTTTCTTAATCCTTCTGAAACAGATTTATGACCTGTTACATATAAAAAAAATTTCAAATCATCTTGTATTCAATCTGCCACTTTAAGTTAGTTATTTCTTAGATGGCTCCATTAAAATGCTATTTTTAAGTTCAAGTGGGCCATAAAACGATAGGAAAAAGAAATTTTACCACCAATTTTAGTGCTGTCATCTAAAGCATAACTGAATGACTAAAAGCAGTAGATTTTATACTACATGAATATCACAATTTTCTTTTAAGATTTATATACTTTGTTGGTCCAGACAAATATAAAACAATCCTTCATTTTAAAATATGTCATAAAATGAATAAAAATTAAAGGTACTTCCTGATTATTCACATTCCACTGAAAAGTTGTGAATCCACTGATGGCTTTGGAGAGCATTTACAAACTCGTCAGTGATATTGGAGAGAAACGTTTGTTTGGGTATCTGTGCATCTATTTCAGTGAGACATTCAAAACTGCCTAATTTTTACATTCTTCTTCCATAGAAGAATTTTCTCCCCCTCTGCAAAGCAATCTATTTTTGTCAAAGAAAGATACCAAAGAATTGCACAACCTTGGCATTATGCACTGGTATTGCCCAAGAACAGTTGAAACTTCTACAAAACTCTCTAATGAAAATAAAAGAAGGCAAATTTCACAGTGGCATTATATTTCATTGTAATAAAAATAGATGTACTCAATACAAAAAAGAAGTACTAATTAGAAAATTGAGCAGTAAATTTCAAAAGTACAAATCCATGCATACTGAAATATACATGCATACCCAGATTGCCACATAAATACCTTGTAATAACATAATGTGTTATTATGAGTTAGCAGCTCCCTTAACTGCACTCTCTAGCATCATGTCTCCTGCCCCCAAGTAGCCTGCTAAATGGTACGTTTCATGGCTTGCGAGACATTAGGTCGACGGAGTTTGACATCCGATATGACCAAACCTAGTTTGAGCAAGCTCAGATTTTGAAGTCTGGTACAACCATGTAGAAGTGCTGCCTCATCGTTACTTTGCCTCAGCTTTTGCAGTTAATCAGAAAGTTCTAAAAATTTGCAAATAATGGCTATGAGTTTGATATATTAACGAGAGTAATATCAATTAAGGTAATAAAATGGTCTAAATATCATACTTTGAGATAAAATTAAGTAATTTTATTTCTTTTTTTTTATGCAAAATTTAAGAGACAAGGGTTAAAGTGTCTTCATATTTTTAAATTATAATAAGCTGTACTTATAAAGCTCACAATTTTCCAAAAGAATAAAAGAAATATTGTTTCTTCCTTTAAATTATCAGTTTGTTTTTTTAAATAAAAATTTTAGTTTTCTGTTTCAGGGTCAGTTGTCAAACGTAAATGTCAGCACTAAATATAGCTTGAAATTATAATGACAATCTTAACAATATATTGAAGACACATCGCCGCTTAAAAATATAATTGTAATTGAAATTTTAAGAAGACTATTGCACAGTTAGTTTCTCTGTCTTTTC